AAAACAGCTTTGAAGTGATAGTATTCAACGCAATGCTGTATCAATGGTAAATTCCAGTCTCTTTGTTTTAAATTTGCATATGAGCGGCTTTGAGAATCTTTGCTCCAGAGGCTAATGCTGCCATATGATGTGGATTAGATAGTATCCAAGTGTGTATGGAAATTTAGCAACTGAGGATAAAAAGGCTGAAATGCTTAAGGATATGGGGGAATGGATACCTATACCACCTAGCTTTGGTGGAAGGGCAGTTTGCATACTGAAGAGAATTTGATATTTAAAATAGATTCGAGAGTATTTTTATAATGAACCTCAAGGTCTAATAATATTTCAAGATACATGTAAATTATTGATGAACGAAAGGCATGTAAAATTTTAGGAATGAATAAAAAATATTTAAATAAATAAAAAGCCGATGAGCAGGTAAATGTTTTAAAATATTTTTCATTCTATTGAATTTGACAATATTATGTAACTAGTTACTTTTGAAATGTACCGGTAACTAGTAATTTTAACAACGCTACAATTTAATAATCCACAAACAACAATATCCTAAAATAGATATTATTACATATTATCATCAACTTTTAAAAACTGCTTTGCTGGGTAAAATTTCAAAATTTTACGAAAAATGGCCGACTCTTAAATATAGCAAAAATGATTCCATGAAAAAATGATCAAAATGTTTTCTTAAAATTAATATATTTTTTTGAATAAAAAATAATTGTTTTGAATAGAAACTCTTTTATAAATGTAAATTACATGTTTTTTATATATTATTTTTAACATATAATTTAAAATAAATAAAATGAAAGTTTATAAAACAAATAAATTTTTTTTTAAAAAAAAGCTTGGACCGAACCCTAAATTTAAAAAAAGGGTTCAGCGAAATATCGAGGGTTCGAGTTCTCATTCCTACTTATAACCGATTAAATATAAGAATCGATTTAGGAGAGATTTAACTAGGTAAATTTATTTAGTATTATCTTATGTTGTAGAAGAACTTGGAAAAATATGAAAAGAATAATATAAAAAATTATTTATTAAATAGATTACCAAATCTTTCACATTTCCCATAATCATATCCATTAGTTGATTTAGGATCCAAATTTTGTTATTTAAAATACTGAAACAATTTCCAAAACAAAATAATGATGGGAATATTTAATTGAGATTACATGTAGAATTGTTAGCAGGGTTAATCTTTTGGGGAATCTCAAATTTATATCAAACTCATAAGATATCTGTTAAGATCAAGTTATTTTCAATAATTTGAAATATAGAGGAAATGGATTTCATCATTAAAACATAATTTAGGGGACTTTTAATAGAATTATAGATTAAAGCTAACACTCATAAAGGTAACGGTTCGTTTGATATTAAAGGTTTTTTGGGGGGTTTTGAAAATCTTTACGAAATTAAGTAGATGTTATATTGTTACAATTCGGGGTGGAATAAAAATAAAATTAAATAGTTACGATGTGCCTACAACCAAGGTTACCAGATTCAATCAAACAAAAAGAGGAATTAACCATAATTCAAAAATAAATATATTAATTTTTTCCGTGATTATTTCTTTATTTAAATGAATATATCTAATACTAGTGCTGTAAACGTTACTTCAAAAAAGAAATGCGTTACTCGTTAGATCAAAAAACAGAAACGCATTACTCATTACTGTGTGTAAAAAGTAATGTGCACTACAGGCTATTGAGAAAGTAACGCGTTACTTGAAAAATTAAATATTATATATAAAAATTTACTTATATATATATATTACAAATAAAATTATACAAAAATAATATATTATAAGATACGATATTTTTATTTCTTTTTAACAATTAATTTTCAAAATTTGATCAGATAGACAAGGGGCAGTGCTAAACACATTTCAACTGGGGCAGAGGATGAAGATTGTATTATATTTAATAAATAAAAGATTTTAATTGGGGGAATTTAATAAAAATTAAAGAATAATCCATATTTTGAAAAAAAGCTTGATAGACCATCTTTAAAAGAATCTTCATTCAGTTCCTCATAATTTTTTTTAAAATCTATATCAGGAAATAATCTGGTATGTCTTGTTTTTAAAGGAATAATAAGTTTAAGCACCTTATTTTACCTATATTTTATTCAGAGCCAATCCAATTTAAATAATGGGTGAATTATTGATGATTATGTTCGAATCTATTGAAAATAAATATAAATTGTAAACAATATTTCAACTTTTATCTATGACTTGCAGGATTGCATTAATAAGTGGCTTACAAAACCTGAAATTATTTAAAGCAATTTTTTTAATTTTTAATATTATAATAGTTATCGTGAGATATCCCATATCTTCGAAAAAATCGAAGCCGTAGCAACAGGTTCCATAACGTATAAAATCATATATACATATCATATTTTTAATTAAACTAAAGATTCAATATAATTATGAAAATCGCTGTAATTATGATTTATTTTCGTCAAATTGGCCATTCTCCTTTATAAGGCTATTAATTTCACGGTGTTATAAAAAGAGCTCCACCTTTTATAACCGGTTTTATCAGGTATTTTCCTATTTCTTTCTTAAAAACGGCTGCACAGTTTTGAGACTGCCAATGTCTATCCTACAATTGAGGAAATATTTGAGTTGGAAAACAATTTTACAAAGGACTTTATATCCTTAATTTTCTTTATTGGTAAAAAATGTTTTATATTGGGACCAGGTAAGGTTAAATCATCTTCATCTGAAGAAATATGTATAATTGACATAATATTTTTTATAAAATAAATTATAATATTAGAGAATAAGAATATAAATTAACATATCTTGATTGATTCAATATTAATTAGATACGAAAATATAAAAACAATTTTATAATAAAAAATAATTTTTCCATATTTTTCAAGAAAAAATTTGTAAGAAGTAACGTTTTACTCAAAAAAAGCGTTACTCGTTACCTCTAGAATAAGGTAACGAATAGCATTTATTTACTTAAAAAAACGCCGTATAGGCAAAAGCAAAATAAAGTAAGATCACATTTTTTTTAAATATAAAATTAAGATATTATTTAAAAAATAATACATATTTTACAGATTTTGTTATATGTTCCTTAAAATGTTTGATTATCAATTCCGCTTCTCTAAAGATAAAAAATTACTATTCTTTACGATAAAATTTTTTTAATAAACCGCTCTATATTTTTTTTAAAAATTTGGCGCAATGTTTTTTGAAAAAAGTACTCATATGTTTTCATCTTATTGTATAAATGTATTAATGCAATCATCAATTCTTAAAATAATTCATTTTCGATATCTTTATATTAAAATTGATCATTATTAATTCAACTTCCCCGAATTTGAAATTATTATCGAGCTTCATAATACCTAGATTTTTCCATTTAATATTTTTTTCTAAATATGAATTGATTGTTTCTATGTATTTATTAGCTTCATTTTAAATGCGATTTATCATGATCAACACTTTTTATAATATTTTGTCTTACTAAGTCATAAAAGTTATTGATAATTTGGGCTTTAAGAGTTGTAACTAATTTATTCAATTCAATTTTCGAATTGTAATTTGTTACCCACGTTGTTTAAGGTCCTCTATATATTAGTCTAGTCCTATACATTTTCAAAAAATAATTTAAAATTTTTGGGGATAAAAAATTAAGAGATAAATAATTTTTATAAAGTCTTTCGAGAGCCATCTTGTTAATTCACATAATTACAAACTATTCAATATCTTGAAAATCCATATTTTTTTTTAAAACAGATGTTCTGTTTGTGGATCTACTGAATTCGGCATAACATTTCATAGAAATTATTTCTATTGATAATGAAGCATGCCCCTTTCTTACTGCATTGTGAATTGTAAGGAACAGGCAAGCAATGATTATAATTTCATTCAACTAATAATTCCGTTATTACACTTCGCCTTTTTCCTAAATCATACTTGCGTTTTCGGCACAAAAGGCTGTTACATTTCATAGCGAAATGTTATAATTTTTCAAGGTGCACAAGCATAGACGCACCTTCGATTAATCTGAGTCCGATGATTTTTTTTTAAAATAGCGTAGGGCTGGCCAATAAAATTCACAAATTTTGCCAAACCTATAGCGCAGCATTATTGGGAATGTTTTAGTATTTCCATTATTTGATGCATCAGTTAGTAGAGAAAATGGATGATTTTCCTTCAAAGCCACTAAGATGTGTAGGCTTTTGTTCTTCTATATTTTATGCTTTTGGCTATTTTTGAACTAGGAAGTATAGTATAGAGAAACCTATACATAATTAACTAAGCGAATGTTTTATGTCTGATAGATGAATTTCGCTTCGGCTATTGCAGTATTATCTTCACATAAATTATTGTTTTTGAAGCATGGTTGGATGTTATCTGACGATTCCTTATTTTTTTACATCATGTACTTCTCTATGGCTGACATTAAATTTTGTACTACATATTATACAAATTATTTAACTTTCTTTATTTTCTCTGACCCATGAATAAATCGAATTCCAGGTATTTTGATATTGTGATTTTTTTTTGGATATTAACCTTTGTCTTTAAACTGTAATTTATATATAATTTAGATTAATGGAGGGAGAAAACTTTATTTAATTAATCAAAAATAATTATTAGGCTATATAAAACATTTAAAATTATTTGTAAATAATCGGGATAAAACGTAAATTAATAGACCGCGTGCTCGGGCGTAAATGAAAGTAGAAAATCGGGAAATTAGCCAAAAGCGGGAGATTTGGAAACCCGCCTATAACGTCCTTTGTTTTTCCTGAATCGCTTGGTTTAATTGGCTATTTTAATGAAATCGATTTTTATTTTCACACCCTAGATATTCATAAATAACTCATATAACACTTTCCCCATCAAATTTATTTTCGCCAAGCTTGAAATGATATTACATTATATGGGATAGCCATTATTTTATAGTAATATATATTTATTGATAAATTTTTGCTCACGATTTATATATTAATATATCTTATTATTTTAGGTTTATCCAAAGAATTATGCGACAAAATAATGTCTGACAATATGTTAAATATAATGCAATACAGACGCCTCTCGCTCTACAGGAGAATAAAAATAAAATTATCTACAGTTTTAGGACTTAAACTTAACGTCGAAAAACGGAATAATGAATTAATTAAACTCACTAATAAATTGTAATGATAAACCATAACTTATTTTATATAATTTAAAACATATGATGCTGTATATATTTTTTTTATTCTAATATTATATTAGTTTGAATAAAATTGAGATAATAAATTAATTAGTCTTGACATTTAATACCGTAATTAATATTAAAGGAATTTTCTAACTACGTTTTAATATAAAGGATTACATATTTTTATAATTCACGGATTGTCTAATTATTGACCATTTAGCTGAAAGTTTAAAAATCCAATACCAGTGTCTTTAGAAGAAAGTATAAGAGTTTGGTTAGTATCATTGCTATCTTCTATTCTAATAATTCTATTGTCCGACATTTCTCTGATAATCAAAAGAGTGGATGTTGTATTATTTGAGTCATCATCATATGTTGGCAATTTTGTTTTTCCTCGTGGTTGCATATCACTAAAACTATTGGTCAGACCAAAACCATCTCTACATAATTCTTCCTCGTAAATATAAGGTGAAATAGTAAGTGTATTGTCGAGGTTTTGCATCTTATCATTGCCATTATTTTCTGCGTCACCATTTGTGTTTATACTTGTAATGACAGATTGAATCCAATCTGAACAAGCGACTTCTTTATTCAAGACTGGCCATTCCTTTAAATCATCATTCAGTTCAAATTCATCTTCTTCACAAGTGGGTATGATTTTTCGAGATAAGAATTTGTTAACATGAACCATGGTTGGCGTGATCCTCCTCATGTGAGGATTTTTGCCAATATTCTTTTTGGGGGAAATTATATCATCATTGCTGTTTTTACTTGATATTGATGAGCTTGTGGAATCGAATGTAATTTGGGTTACTTTTTTACTCCTCAGGGGAGTTATTTGATTTCTGCTACTAGAAGCGAATGAACTTTCAGAAGAAGGGGAAGAAGTGGTAGTCAAAGAAATATCACTAGCATTGCAACTATTGCTGCTACAGTTTTTTTTTATAAAAAAGGTATAAAGATCATGTAATTTTTTTAGACAATGAATTTTGGATTTAAAAAAGGTAATGTTTGTAATTATTTTTGAAAAAGATGGTTCTAAATTGAAAACATGTTTTGGTTTATACAAACGATGCAGTTTTTCAAATTTTAAATACAATGGAAAAAAACTGGATTCAGGCTTGAAAAATTAGGCATGATGTAGATCACAACATGTAATACTTAGCTATTCTCTAGAGTGCTACTGCTATCATTATTTATTTTTAAAAGTGTGTGCTACTTAGCAACACCGATAATGACTATATCTAGGAAAAAAAAGAATTAGGTTAGGGTATAATATAACTATTAAAAATTATTGTTATAGAAAATAATTAAATAAGTGAAAGTGTTTAGTTTTTTATGAACCATAACCAAACCTTTATAAATAATGATTTAGGTCCCTGAATGGGTTTGGATTAAAAATCTAGGGAAGAGAGTCAAAAGTAGTTGATACAATTTAGTTTCCCCAATTCAATGATGGTGAGGTACCCCCCCCCCTTCCAATAATATTTCAGTGATACAATTGCATCATGCTCACAATGTAAGAGGGTCCTGGCAGCTGTGAATAGAGGTTAATAAGCAAATGCTATAATACAATGATTTTTTTTGAAAACAGATTAGAGATATAGAATATGCAATTATTTATCAAATATTCCCAAATCTATATAAACCAAGAGCCAATTTTATTTCAAAATAAAACAAAATTGTTTAATATATTATAAACAAAAAACTGGAATAGAACTTAACATCTACTGATTTGACACAATGAATTTAACATACACCATAATTAATATATTTTACAAATTGTAGCTTGATTCTTTTTAGCTAGATTCCTCTTTTAAAATTTATTAGAAACTGAAACCACTTCCTTTAAACAATATTTAAAATCAAAATTTTTTTAATACAGGTTCCAAACTTTGTAATTAATATTTATTCTTGTAGATCACATATCATTTAAAATATTATAGAAATACTTTTAAATATAAATTTAAAAAAAATTATATGTTCAAAATTAAACTGAGGGAATTTTTTGTAAAATCTAATAAATAATTTAAATTAAATATATAAAATAACCTGGTATCATTCCAGCCTTCATAATTAGGATCATCCCAATTATGTATGTGCTTCTTCCATAGCTTTATTTGTGCATCCCATGATCTTCTGCTATGCTTTTTAAATTTATTTGGGGTAGTTGGATGGTGTTGTAATCTTTTTTTTCTGTAAATTTTAGTGTAAATTAACTAATTATAGAATAAGAAAATACTTTGAAACTTTGCTTCTATATATTTTGTAGATAGAAGTTCCATAACCATAATCAATTTGCTTTTGTCTAATTAATAGTACATCAATATCACATTCAATTTTAGATAAAGCACTACTCTAATGTAGATATTATAATATAGCAATTATATTATACTTTTCTTTATCACCTTCACAATATGAGAGCACATTTTGTTTATACCTAAACAACACAATTATATCATTTAAATATTTCAAAATGACTTGTCAAGTTGCTCATTGATTATATTTTCTGCCTTAAATCGTGTTTCCATTTGATCAGCCCATTTTGGAGAATCAATTAAGGTTAAGGTATATGATCTTGAATTATTACATTTTTTATTTATATCTTCATCTCCTTTATCTCTTCGCCTACCAAAATTCTATCTTTAATATTCAACAAAACATTCATACTTGTAAGACTTATTAAGTGAAGAAATTGATCGTGATAAAGCGCGCTTTTTTGATTTAATATTCATTAAAGATGTTTCTTCATCAGCCTTTTGGTAAGATAAACTTGTAATAGACCGGCTAAAGTAAAATATAATAAAAATTATAAATAAACATTATAAACCTAGGAATTTTATTAATTAAAAACTCGGTCATAATCTACGACAAGATGACAATTGATATTTTTCGAAATAATAAGGCGCCAAATTTCTCTGGTATTTTAAAAAGATTTATACCACAAGGTGTGAGGTAATATTACACATACCATATATTTTTAATATATATGTCCTGTCCATAAATCACAATTATTATAAAATGCTAACAACAACTCCTTATTAAGTGAAATTAAATGCGAAATATATATATTATGCTTTTATTAAGCAATAAAAGTCCTCCTAATTAGATTTTTCTATTAAGCGGCTAAAATGTATTGTTTAATTGTTTAAGTTAGGGGCTTCGCCCTACCCCGGGCAGGCTATGCTTTGGATTAAAAATATGGTCATTTTAATATGACTAATAGTTTTTGCTAAATATTTGGTAGGGAGGATTGATACTACCTATATCTTTACAAGTTAAAATTTTTTTTTTTTTCTCTTTAGCTTTCACCTTTTCTGGTGGTAAGCTCCTTCAACATCTATCTCCACTTTATGTTATTCATACAATCTCTTTTATCTATTTTATACTTCTTTATATTGGCTCTAACTTTATGGCCCCATTGAAGTTTTGGCCTTCCTCTTTTACGTTTGCCCATCACTTCCAAACTTCATAGGCCTTCTCATTGTGTGCCCATACCACCTAAGTCTGTTTACCATTAACTTAGTCTTAATGGGCACTACCTTTAAACTATTTAGTATTCTTGTACTGCGCACCTTATCCTTTCTTGTTACCCCAGCAATCATCCTCAGCATTCTCATCTCCATAGTTTGTAGACTTCTCTCGTCTGATTCTTTGGTTGGCCATGTTTCCGAACTATATAGAATAGTTGGTTGTACTATGGAACTGTAGATTTTTCCCTTTAATTTGTGTGGGATTCTTTTGTCAAATAGCACTCCAGATAAAGATCTCCACTTTAACCACCCTTGATTAATCTTATTCTTTATCTCTTTTTCTATTGTGCCGTTTGTTTGTATAGTGGAGCCCAAATATTTGCAGCTTTTAATTGCGGATATCTGCCAATCATTTATATCAATACTCTCCCTTTCATCTCCTCCTATCACCATATACTCCGTCTTTTCTCTATTTACTTTTAATCCGTGCGTTTCTAGGATATTTATCCAATTCACTAACCTTTCTTTCATTTCATCCTTGGATTCGGCAAGTATCACAATATCATCTGCAAAGGACTTTACAAGTTAAAATACAAATAAATATAAATTTAATGCGTAAATCTTTCATTTTTTCGTTTTCTTTGGTCTGTATTTTTTGAAAAGATATCTTTCACCCATCAATGATTCCTTTTCTATATTTTAAAATATGAATCTCGAATCCAATGGCCAGGCCATCGTTGCACTTTTTTTTTGAATCATTAGCAAATTCTTAATATATACTTGTTCAAAATGCCTCGTCTAGGTCCTTAGGCCAAATATATTTTTGAATAAAGAATATACCAGAACGAATTTCTTTATTAAAAAATATTTTTATTAGAATTTATTTAAATCATTTTACCCTCCTAAAGCTATCCATTATACGGGACTGCATGATACTTTTTAGAGATATAAATTGGTCTATTTTTAATCTTATTAGTCAAATTATTTTAGTAGTAGATTCAATATCTAAATAAAATTACATCTGCAAATATTAATCTAAACTAAAGATTAATATCAACATGTTCTGATTATTTAATTTTTTAAGAACAATCAATAAAAATGATTTGCCTGCAAAAGGACATAGTAGAACTTGATAACTTAATAAAAAAAATACTTAAATATATTATTTTTTCTAAAGTTGATTGTTCATAATAACCAACAACAGTGCCTCAGCCAATGAGGGCCTCCCCCCCTTTACTCATTTTCAAATGCTAACTTGCCTCTAAATTTTTTTGACCCCAGAAATAGCCCCCCAAAATATTTAAGACCTCCAAATTTAAATTTTTTTTAATGTTACATAATTTTTATTCCAATTGATATTTAAATCTAAATTAAAAAACAAGAAAATTCTTAGAAAATTATGGTTCTTATATCACGAAACCTCTACATTTAAATATAACTAGGGTATTGCTCTAGCTCGGCCTTAAGCCGGATGTAGCCTGAGAATCACAAATAACACAGAATCAGAAATGACCATGAATTACAAATAGTAGTGAGTACAAATGGCGACGAATTCCGCGCCATTTGTGATTCCGGATAAACTCCCCTTGGTCGAAGCCTAGGCCATGGCGTAGGTATTATTAATTCATGTATCGCCATAATTTAAATGATTGTATTTTATTATGTGGGAACAATGGAAAATAAAAATTATATAAATATTTATTAACTTAACTTTATGCAAAATACTTAAGTATATCTAGAATAAGGATGGAATATTATTTAAATATTAAATATAGCATAACATATATCGTTTTTAGTCAATTGTGCGAAATAAAATAGAGAGAATGATTGTATGGGAATACCAATTGGTAGGCTTCAAAAAAGTGCTATCCATAAGAATAGATAGATATAAAACTTATTTAAGTAATAAAATAGCGTACCATATATCATTTTTTAAGAAGTTCAAAATAATCAGCAGGAATAAAAGGGAATATTGTTCGGTGCAACAAAATGTCACGTTTTAAAAAAAGTAGGATCATTAGAGGTATATAATTTTATCTAAATAATAAAAATCGCATACTATGTATTGCTTATTCGATCCGATTTAAATAATAAAAAATAGCCAACCAGGTAGAGGATACAGATCAGCAATTTTGATGAACCATCCAAGTTAAAAGTAATCGATATTATTTGAAATCAATATTTGAATTTGTACCAGTCCTTAATATGGGATTGATATTTCTTTGCTGAGGCTAGTGGGAGAGACTGAATACAATGAAGGAATCTATTGATAAATAAATTAATATATAAAATTTACTAAATTCGGTTAATAATCTTACGAATGTTACACTCAATTATAATCACTTGTCGGAGACCGTAATCAGTTTAATTCTAATTTCCTTTTTTTTTTAACTTTAAGAATTATTTTCTTTATTTTAAAATCTTTTCATTTTTATTCATCTTTTTAATATACCAAAATTATAAATATTATAAAAATTCATCAAAAAATAAGTAATGAAATTACAAGTATCTTTTTCAACAATAATCAAAAATTATCAATATTCATAGACATCGTTTTCTTTTTCTTTTTTTTTTACATATTTAAATTAATCATAGTTATATCTATATATTTGAATACAACAAAATTAATAATAGTTCATCTATATATATTAGAATACAACAAAATTAATAATAGCTCATATATTTGAATACAACAGAATTGATACAATTTCTCAGTATAAAAGAGCCCCCCTTTGATGCGTCTGGTTCCACAACAATATAGGATGCTGATAAAAATATAATTTATTCTCCAGGACTTTTTATTGTAGTGTTTTACATACATCTGCCAAAAAGATAAAAAATTTTAAAAATATAAAACTAATATCAAAAAAGTCCTAATGCACATCATCTCCAATTTAAAGTAATGTAATATCTATGGTTCCCATTCTAAATCGCTAGAAAAATGACCAAAAACATTAAAAATTTGCTATATGTTCTACAAAATTTCAAAAGTAATGTTGAAAATAATATTAATAGGGGTACAAACACTTATATTTAAATGGAGATATTTTTAAAAAATTCCTAAAGAAGGAGCTAAATATACGAAACGCGATTTGTTAATATTTTTGGCCACATAGACTTCTAATATTCATTTTTAATATTTTCTTCTTGCAATAAAAATTTGTTTAATATATATATCCCCGAACCTGGAAAGTTTTGGCTATCGGAGGAGAGTAGTAAAAAAAAACAATTATATTATATTGTATTTATGAAATATTTAAGAATTGGCCTATTAAATACAGGGCCGTAGCCAGGAATTACCAGCTAAGGGGGCCAGCTGCTTACTTGAGGGGGCCAGTATTTTAAAAAAATTAAAACAAATAATTAAGCATTCATAAAAGATTTTCGCTATTTTTATTAAAAATTAATACTACGATTTTAATTTATAAATTTTAACATAAATGATAAAGGATAAATCTTGTATTATTTTTTTTTCATAAGCCATCAATACTAAAGGATAAATCTTGTATTATTTTTTTTTCATAAGCCATCAATACTAAATTTTGCTTAATTTGATCTTTCATCGACTCTCTGGTGCTCGATAGGACTCTCTTTATTGTAGAGAAAGAGACCACACAAGAAACTGTTGGTAACCTAATGATGATGGCTACTGAGTAGCATTTATACAATTCATTAAATGCATGATGATATCTTTTTTATACTTAATATTTAGGATATTTTCAAAATAATGTGTTTCTTTAACTTCTGCAGCTAATAATCCTTTAGCTATTTTCATTTCATGATGTAAAGTTTTCATATTTAAGGTTAATAATGATTATAATCGGACCATTTTATCCGATATAAAATAATCAGGATCAAAGAGGGACAATATATTAAAACATGATAGAAGATTATAGTCATCTTGTGTAAATTATCTAAAAAACGATCAACACAAAGTAATCAATAATTTCAAAATAATCCCTTTTTAAAGAACTCCAATTGGAGACTTTTTTACAATCAAATTGTTTTGGTCTAGCCTAAAAAATCTTGAAAATTTATAGGCATTCTTTTTAATATAGTGATAGTGGAATCAATACAATTTTTAGCATCCACTAGATTATTACTTACTGACTGTATATACTAATTTAGTGGATCTATTGTTATTATATCTCATAAATTATAATGGCTAATAACGTAATTTATATTAAGGCATTGAGATAAAGACCAGAGGCTTCGACTGAATCATGAGTAGAAACCTCTGAATTAAGAGTTCTATAAGAAAATAACTTCATTAATAGCCTCAAAATTCTCATAAATGATGCGAGATGCTTCTAGATGACCAGCCACCTCTGGTCTAAAAGTCTCTTAAGAGTATAGCCTGCATATTTACAGGATATACGTTAAAGCGCCTAATTAAGAAAATTAGAAATGATAACAATATTACTATACCAATTTTGAACCACAAGATGCAACATGTGGTTGTATTGTGGTTGTAGCAATGTAAAAAAAGGAACTTTTTTATTAATTTTTTTTGAAGTAGGGTTTGCACTCCTTCATTTTGGACAGAAATAACGTTTGCCCCATCATTTGCCTGGCTTATTATATTCGTTGAATTAATATTTAACTCATTAAGTTGCTTTAAAATGCAATCAGTAATGTTTCAGCAGAAAGACACTGTAAATTAATAATTCCTATTAAATTTTCTTGGACTTCTCCAGAAAAAATATAGCGAATAATTATGCTCACGTTTTCACAACCTTATGCACCTTTTGACTCATCAGCCCTAAGACAAATAAAAGCATCTCATATTTGTTATATTTATCTGAAATATATTCATGCACCATATCTGCCATAATAGATATTAATTCGTTTTGATTCTAGGGTGATGTATGTTGGGCATTTTTGGGTATAAATTATATAATTTTATTTAATTCAGAACTTTTATTTTTTAAACTAAATACACAGTTATAAAAATAAAACAAAACAATGATGAAAATACTATTTAAAAGAATATTAAAATTATAATTGACACACTACATCTATATTCTATAATAAAATATATAATTAAGAAGAGAAATTAAAAAAATAATTTAAAATAATATATTTAGGTACTGTCGGCGGGGCTTAATGACCCATGTATGGATATAAGTTGCACACAAATTTCAATTGATATTCTTTGTCAAAGGTAAAAGCCTACTTTAGGATCACCTGTGGTTAAACGTAACCAGGGATTCGGACCGAATCCGAACCCGAAAATGAAAAACCGGGTTAATCTGAACTCGACCCGGACCTGAACCCCGTTTAAAAAATTTACCCCGAACCAAACCCGGGAATTTTATTTGAACCCGAGTTCAACCGGGTTCAGTGTATTGTTTAAAATCATATAAGATATTTGTATATTTTTAAAAAATATTAATAATTTAATTGAGATTTTATAATATTTTCAGATTTCCAAATGAAGTGTTAATAAATTTTAAACAACTTAATTTATTTACGCCATTTTTAAATATTTCAAAATTTATTCCCAAAGATTCCTATTGCAGTGTTTATAAATTTTAAACATAAATTCATTTACGCCATTTATTTTTAATTTTTAACTTATTCTCAAAGATTATTAATTAAAGGAAAATGAAAGTGAACAAGTCAAAGTAAAAATTATTATATTGGATATTATTAATTTAAAGAAATACGTCTAAATAAAATTTTTAAAATTGATAAATGACTAAGCTTTATATTGTAAACTATATTTTGCCTATAAATAAAATAAAAAATTAATTTTTTATACCAAATCTATGACTAGTTTTTTAATTATGATCTATATATAATTTTTTTCATAAATTCAAAAATTCTTAAACCCGAGCTGGACCCGGAATCAAACCTTTATTTTTTAATTTATTACGTATACAGAATTGGATGATGATATTTTGATGATAAATAAATTAGAAAATATCCCTAGATATTTTCTTCCTACAACAAAGGTATGGGAAAAATATCATGCTAAAATATATGGTCTAAAGCCTCCCAAACGTTGTCGGGATGTAGACTATGGGAAACAACTTGGTGAACCCACCATCCTGGTGCAAATTAAAGGTGATGGGAATTGTTTTTATAGGTAAAACATATTAATATAAAATTTTATTTTATTCTAATTTATATAATTTAGGGCGATTAGTGTAGAGCTTACTGGAGCTCAAAATTCCCATGTTATTCTCAGGCAATGGTTGGCACAATTTATGCTAACATCTGAGATGGGAAAGGTAATTGAAAATTATCTTTACAAGACGAACAAAAAAATAGACATAAAAACTTATGTCTCAAATAATGTAATGACACAGCAGATATGGGCTTCTGACACAGAAGTCAGGGCGATGGCCACAATGTTAAATACGGCTATTTTTACTTATATAAAATATAATGATAATTTTGTATGGGCCCGATATGACCCATTTTATATTCGCGACAATATTAAAATATTTAATAATAATTTTATAAAAAATGGGGGGAGTCATTTTGAAAATGTTTTAGATTGCGATTTATCTTCCATCTATTCACTATTTTTATTAAAAAAAATTTTTTATTTCGTTATAATTAAACAGTTATGTTTTAATATATATATATATTTTTTTTTCCGAGTATGTACTATATTTCTTTGAGATAGTTATTAACTAAAGAAATCATAATGTAATATTATTATAATATTTTTATTGTACGTTATAATATAATAATATTAAATCATGTACATAAAAAAATTTATAAACAAAAAATAAAATATTATTTGAAAAAAAAACATGATCTAACTTTGTCTGTTTATAAAATAAATAAAAAATATAAAATTATATAAATATATTTCATTCATATTATAATTTATCGCCTTATATATATATTTGGTTACAGTCCGCAATTACTATTATTAAAAAATGTTAAAAAAGCAAATAAGCTAAAATGGCTGACAAAATGGCCCCTATAAGTTTGAAGCGAGAGATATAAAAATATTAAAAATTTAAACTTTACAGATTAGACAGATTTTACTATTTAAAGTAAATTATTTATATTTAATTAATTTGATATAAAGAAAAGTTTATTAATATAAATATTAGAAAATATATAATTTTAGTATTAAATATTTATATAAATTAATAATATAATAAAATATAATATTGAAAATACATATTTATTTAAATTAGATATAAAGAAAAATATGTAAATTATGATGTAAATATATTAAATTGTAAGATTATAAGATTTTATTAAAATATAATAATTAATATAATTTATTTAATATATTTATAATATAAATTGCATATTTTAATATTATTAAGATATATATATATTTTTTATAATAATTCATAACAAATTTTTCTTCTGCATTAGATAACTTATCTGTTTAATAATCAAAATATAAATCAATTTTTTTGAAATATTTATTCTAAAAAAATAACCTAGAATGGTAAACTAGGAGTCATTTATTTACCTCGTTTTCTGTATATAATTTTGTAGCTGGGTAGAAAATAAATTTGAGGGTAGTTATTTCTAATGATTAATGAAATCGTTAATTTTTTTTACTAGGAACTATATAAATAAAATTTTTACAGTAGGTATATATACTTATTATTCCTTTAAATATCTGATTAACTCATTTTTTTGGTTATTTCTAAAGATTAATGGAATCGTTGATTATTTTTTCTTACTAAGAACTCCTTTGATAAAATTTTTATAGTAGGTATTTATACTTATTATTCCTTTAAATATCTGATTAACTAATTTTTTTTGTTATTTCTAAAGATTAATGGGATCGTTGATTATTTTTTCTTACTAAGAACTCCTTTGATAAAATTTTCACAGTAGGTTATTACTATTATTCCTTTATATATCTGATTAACTAATTTTTTTTTGTTATTTCGAAAGATTAATGGGATCGTTGATTATTTTTTCTTACTAAGAACTCCTTTGATAAAATTTTTACAGTAGGTTATTACTATTATTCCTTTAAATACCTGATTAACTAATTTTTTTTTGTTATTTCTAAAGATTAATGAGATCGTTGATTATTTTTTCTTACTAAGAACTTCTTTGATAAAATTTTTATAGTAGGTATTTATACTTATTATTCCTTTAAATATCTGATTAACTAATTTTTTTTGTTATTTCTAAAGATTAATGGGATCGTTGATTATTTTTTCTTACTAAGAACTCCTTTGATAAAATTTTTACAGTAGGTTATTACTATTATTCCTTTATATATCTGATTAACTAATTTTTTTTTGTTATTTCGAAAGATTAATGGGATCGTTGATTATTTTTTCTTACTAAGAACTCCTTTGATAAAATTTTTACAGTAGGTTATTACTATTATTCCTTTAAATACCTGATTAACTAATTTTTTTTTGTTATTTCTAAAGTTTAATGAGATCGTTGATTATTTTTTCTTACTAAGAACTCCTTTGATAAAATTTTTATAGTAGGTATTTATACTTATTATTCCTTTAAATATCTGATTAACTTATGGATACATATTAATTTCTTTTTATTTCAACTGTATAATTTGACAATACAAAACATTAAATTATTATTCATTATAAAATTTTTCTAAAAATTTGCTTAGACAATATTAAAAATTTATTTTATAAGAATTTAATTACATATATCAGGTTAAATAAAAAAAATAATTTTATAAAAGTGCGCGAAACAATAATAAAAATGATAATTTTGAATTGAAATAATTTATAAAAAAAATATAACGACAATAAATATAAGTTATACAACTAATAAAAAAATATACAAAGGAAGGGTTTAGTGTACCATTCAGGCATTCCAATCTCAAGAACATTATGATTAGTATTATGAACTTTTACCATATAAAACTCTCCACAAATGATGATATAACAATAGTTGAGGAACATAAATAGATTTTGAAATTGGCATATACCATTTCAGCCAAACCCAACTACAATAAAATAACTTGGATCAACAGTAATGATATTTTTTTAATGATTTCAAAAAAAATATAAAACAAATTGATTAGATGATAAGCAAAAAGTCACCAGTATAAAAAAATGAGCTAAACACCAATAAATTTTTTAGAATATAAATATCTGGATATTTTATCCAAATATTCAATGGGACTATATAAATTTCCACAATAAAGTATCATTATCTCTCTTATTTTAAAATCTAATAAGATATATTTTCTTCTTCTTTCGGTAACTTTTCGCCCATCATCTAATTGCATCAACATAAGATCCATATCTTGTTCTATATTTTTAATGATATCAATAAATAAATAAATATTAGGGTGAGGATAAGGAACGTATTCCTTTAAAGCACGATTAAATCCTTCAACGTGGTTATTCGTCCTCACCCCTCTAACATCAAATGTGTTCCACATTTCATATTTGAACTTGGCATTACTGTTAATCCAAGTATTTTCAAAATAATTTAAAAAATCTAAAATAGAACTTAATTGAAAAGATCGAGCTTGGTTAGTTAACTCAATCATTATAGATGGCACATCCCTTTCTAATAAAAATGGGATGGCCATTATAATACGAAAAAATTTATGAATATAAGGATTTCGCCTGTGTAGTTGGGTCAGGCGATATTCCTGAATGCGTCTTACGATGCATTGACAGAAATGGAAATAGCAACCCTTTACAATAATTCTTGGAAAAATTTCCTTTAGGGCTAAAAATACGCCATTTTCAAAATCTATTGTTGCACTTGGTGGCGAAAAAATTAAACCTAATGAGCAATAATTTTTTAATAAATAAAACATTCGAATATATGTATTTTTATATTTATCTGGTAAAAGAATATACGCACAGATAATTAATGTATTATTTATAATAATATTTATAATGTAAAATTGTTTAAATAGTTTAGGGGCGGCATTAAACGTGCCATCTAGATATATTTTATCTGCCAAACAAAGGCGAGATAAAAGTATACGAGTAGAAAAAATAAATAATTTATTATTATCATTACAAATTAAAAAATTATTATTAGTTATTGTGACTTAATGTTCCTCAAGCAATGCTATATCAGCATTTGTGCGAGGTAAGAATGGCCGCGTCGATTGAATAACGCGTGCCATAATTGTTTTTACCGACAAAAATGTTGGTAAGGTTTTAGGATGTCGCATCGCAAAGGAATCTAATTTCCTTTCGCGCATAACCTTTTTATATATTTTATGTAAGCTTAAATATTTATTTAATTTTGTTTGATTTTTTAATTCATTTAATGTAAGTAAAAGTTCATAATACACTTCATCATTATCATGATTATGTTGCTTAGTCATCATAAAATGAGTACCTAATATACCCCTTCCCTTACAACTTTGTAAACGACATTTATAAAAAAATCCTCTATTGCGATGATATAAATATTTATTTGAATAGATTAAATTATTATTAAATTTAGATTTTATAAATTTATACGAATAATCTTCAATGCCTATAAAAGATTTCTAGATAAAATTAGCAGCATATTTTAAATTTACTTTGATTAGTTGGAGGGATCATATTATTTGATGCTAAGAATAAAATTTCTAAGTTAATAAGATGGCATATTTTAAATTTACTTTGGTTGATTGGAGGGATCATATTATTTGATGATGGGATATTTTAAATTTACTTTGGTTGGTTGGAGGGATCATATTATTTGATGCTAAGAATAAAATTTCGAAGTTAATAAGATGGCATATTTTAAATTTACTTTGGTTGGTTGGAGGGATCATATTATTTGATGCTAAGAATAAAATTTCCAAGTTAACAAGATGGCATATTTTAAATTTACTTTGGTTAGTTGGAGGGATCATATTATTTGATGCTAAGAATAAAATTTCCAAGTTAACAAGATGGCATATTTTAAATTTACCTTGGTTAGTTGGAGGGATCATATTATTTGATGCTAAGAATAAAATTTCCAAGTTAACAAGATGACATATTTTAAATTTACTTTGGTTAGTTGGAGGGATCATATTATTTGATGCTAAGAATACAATTTCCAGGTTAACAAGATAGCATATTAGTAATATATTATATAATTTACCTTGGTTGGTTATGGTCTCAAATGCTGCTGGAGAAAATATTTCATATAAAATTTTAAAATAAAGTTAGAATTATATTTTACTTTGAGTGGCTACTGATATACTATCTACATTTATGGGATCAGCTATAAAATAAATTTTTATATTATAAAATTAGAATTATATTTTACTTTGTGTGGCTATAGATTTAACTTGTGTTATTTCTAAGCAGGCAGGAGCTATAATATAATTATTTTATATAAAATTAACAAAAAATATACCTGTACACTGTTTAGATTTTTGGAAGGTATTATTTTTAAATACCCCTTTCCCTGCACATGATGGCCTGGTGCATTTGTAATACATAGTAGTATTATAACTATCATATTTTCTAAAATGTGACGGAATCATAAGGTAATATTTATAAAGTAAAAGTATATATTGAGCAATCAGCTTGTTAAATTGAGCATACAAATTTTAAGCTTAAGCAAAATTTAGCAAAAAGTCTTACGAAAAAATCCCTAATTATGGCTGAAAAATAGTAAAGGCGGTACGATACGTATATATTTTTTATGAAAGTTGTAGTTTATAAATAATATTCAATTACATTCTGATATGCAATATATGATAATAATTATATTTTTCCATGATGTTTTTATTAAATTTAAAATTATGTATAAATATTTATATCAATAAAGTTCTTCGTCTATTTTCTTATACTAAATAAAGTTTTATCTAATATTTGTGACCCAATTCAGTACAAAATAATATAGAGATGGATTATCTTTAAAACATTATATTAGGTAAACAAAATAAGCATTACGATTAAGCCATTTAGGCTAAGAATTTATCTTACTGTTTCTTTGCAGTGATTTTTAGAGGGTTGGGTAGAAAAGGCGGTTTGCCTCTAGTAAATTTTCTGTCATATATGAGCTTTGTCTAAATTAATGTCTATCGAGAAGATGTTTGTATAAGAAATATCATGGGATCGGAGTATTTGGTTATTTTATAAATTTCATGTTGTGTAAATTAGCATGTTAGTAAGGATCTCTTCCCTACCTAAATATTGCTAAACTTTAATTATGATATTGATTGGAGCCTCCTATCAATAATTTGAACTAGAGGTCTGGATTGGGTGGTTTTTTCGCCCGTACTTTAAAAAAAATATTTTCAACATTGGGCGAGAGGGTTAAAAAATTTGGGAGAATTTGATATTTTTCAGGCAAAATGAGCAGAACAGTAAATAGTTTTTCATAATATTCCATATTATATGTTTAATTAAAAATACATTAAAATAAATAAAGAGCCAAACCAGCCATAAAATAATTTTAAAACAAAATATATATAAAAAAAATTATAAGTGAGAGCGAGGGCAGGTTAAATAAATCTTTTCGCTAAAAACCCGCCCATTACAGACCTCTAATCTGCATATCTTATCACACACTATTTGGTATGATATGCAGACTAAAAATATAAATTTAAAACTATAGAGAGGCGGCGACTATTTAGATAAGATAGATAAAAAAAAACATTTATAAAAAATGTACGCTACGAGGATAGGTAATGTAAGTCTTACTAACTAGACTACCCACCACACCTTGTAATATTTTATTTGTTTTATATAATCTACTTTTAAATTAAATTTATATATATCAAAAAGAGAAATTTTATTATATTGTTAACTTTAATGATGTTAAAATAATGATGAGCTCTTGAAATGAACAATATATTTTACAAAGCATTACTAAAATATTATTTTAAAACATAGATTATAATTAAATATTTAGGTGTGATACCATTATTGTCTCTATTTTATATTTTATATCCTTAACTTTAATGATGTTCCTTGATTTTACAGCTCTCATTATTCGACTTAATGATCTTAAAAAAATAAAGATGAGTTCTTAAAATGAAACGATATATATATCTTGCAAAGCATTATTAAAATATTATTCTAAAACATAGATTATAATTTAATAGTTAGGTTTTATACCATTATTGTCTCTATATTATATTATCATTTAAATTCATGTCATGAAAATTCTTGCTTTAGATTTATCGCTTCAAAAACATTGGGGGCCATTATCATCAAAATCTCACAACCCATCCATGTGAAAGTGATTGCGTGAGATTTCGAAATCTCACAGATCACTTTCACACGTTACACCGGGTTTAAAAATATTTCCCTGAACCCTATTGTCTTATAACATATCAGGTCAATTCAGCAAAACTTTTATCGTGAAACACTTTTTCGCGAAACTTTTATCGCGAATGGCGTTTATCGCGAAAAGTTTTTATAGCGAAGGTAAAATCGTGAAACCAATTCTGCAAATTTATCTTCGCGAAACATTTATAGCGAAGACAATTTCGCGAATTTATTTCCGCGAAACCTTAACCGCGAATTTATTAGAGCGAATACATTTTAGCGAAACATTTTACGCGAACACTTTACAGCGAATATTTTATCGCGAATGTGTTTGCGCGAAGTCATTATCGCGAGCGCATTACCGCGAAACAATAAATATATTGCGAATGCATTTATTTAAAAGAAAAAAACACATTATTTATTATTTGATGTTTTTTAATAAAAAATGATATGCTACTAGTGTAATATTATTTTTGTTACAATTTATTAGTGATTTTCACGCCCAAGATTTTAAATAAAAAATATTTCTTGAAGTTCAAAAAAATTTTTGAATCTTTTTTGTAAATATATCTTCTTTAAGGAATTCTTTTGTGAAATTTATTACAAATATACAATTTTTTGGTGAAATCTTTTATAGTTTTTTTTATCATTTTTGTAAAATTATCTATTTCTTAAGTATATTAAAAGAGGTGGCTAAATAATTTTTTTAAAAATATTTATATTTAAATTATTTATGTTATTTTATGATTTTTTCAAGGATAATATTTTAATGTGACAATTGTCATATTCGTTATTTTTAAGATTTTTTAACTCAAAAGGGTAAAAATATCATTTAGATTGTAAACATGCTAAATTAAAATTTCATGAAGATCTACCATTGAAAAGTGACAATTGTTATAATCGTTATTTTTAAAGTTTTTTGAATTTTTTTGACCAAAATGCGTTAAAATAAGTATTGCTAGTATGTTTAAATAAAACTTCAGTAAAGATGTACCCTAGATAAGTGACAATTATCATAATCATTATTTTTAAATTTTTTTTAACGTAAATGGGTAAAAATATAGATTGTAAACATGTTAAATTTTCAATTTCATTAAGATGTACCATAGAAAAGTGACAATTGTCTTAATCGTTAACTTTTTTGAATTTTTTTGACGTAAATGGGCTAAAATAAGTATTGCTAACATGTTTAAATAAAATTTCTGAAGATGTAGATAAGTTACAATTGTCATAATCGTTGTTTATTTTGAATTCTTTTGTTGTAAATGGGTAAAAGTATAGATTGTACTAAACATGCTAAATTAAAATTTCATGAAGATGTACAATTGAAAAGTGACAATTGTCATAATCGTTATTTTTAAAGTTTTTTGAATTTTTTTTTACCAAAATGGGTTAGAATAAATATTGCTAGCTTGTTTTAATAAAAATTCAGTGAAGATGTACCCTTGATAAGTGACAATTATCATAATCATTATTTTTTAAACTTTTTTTTGACGTAAATGGGCCAAAATAAGTATTGATAACATATTTAAATAAAACTTCAGTGAAGATGTACTCTAGATTGACAATTGTCAAAATCGTTATTTTTAAAGGTTTTTATATTTTTTTAACGCAAATGGGTAAAAATATAGATTGCAAACATGTTAAATTAGAATTTCATGAAGATGTACCATAGAAAAGTGACAATTGTCATAATCATTATTTTATAACTTATTTAATTTTTTTTGACGTAAATGGGCTAAAATAAGTATTGCTAACATGTTAAAATAAAATTTCAGTGAAAATGTACCTTAGATAAGTGATAATTGTCAAAATCGTTAATTTTAAAGTTTTTTGCATTTTTTAACGCAAATGGGTAAAATATAGATTGTAAAATGTTAAATTAGAATTTCATGAAGATGTACCATAAAAAAGTTACAATTGTGATATTCGTTATTTTATAACTTTTTTAAATTTTTTTGACATAAATGGGCTAAAATAAGTATTGCTAACATGTTAAAATAAAATTTCAGTGAAAATGTACCTTAGATAAGTGATAATTGTCAAAATCGTTATTTTTAAAGTTTTTTGTATTTTTTAACGCAAATGGTAAAAATATAGATTGTAAACATGTTAAAATAGAATTTTATGAAGATGTACCATAAAAAAGTGACAATTGTTATAATCGTTATTTTATAACTTTTTAAAATTTTTTTGACGTAAATGGGCTAAAATAAGTATTGCTAACATGTTAAAATAAAATTTCGGTAAAAATGTACCTTAGATAAGTGACAATTGTCATAATCGTTATTTTTAAAGTTTTTTGAATTTTTTTGACGCAAATGGGTAAAAATATAGATTGTAAACATGTTAAATTAAAATTTCATGAAGATGTACCATAGAAAAGTTACAATTGTCATTCATAATCGTTATTTTATAACTTTTTGAATTTTTTTGACGTAAATGGGCTAAAATAAGTATTGTAAACATGTTTAAATAAAATTTCAGTGAAGATGTACCCTATATAAGTGACAATTGTCATAATCGTTATTTTTAAACCTTTTTGAATTTTTTTGACGCAAATGGGTAAAAATATAGATTTTAAACATGTTAAATTAAAATTTCATGAGGATGCACCATAGAAAGGTGACAATTGTCATAATCGTTATTTTTAAAATTATTTGAATTTTTTAGACGCAAATGGGCAAAAATATAAATTTCTTACATGTTAAAATAAAATTTAAGTGAAGATGTACCATAGATAAGTTACAATTGTCATAATCGTTGTTAATATGGTTTTCTTGAATATTTTTGTTGCCAATGGGTTAAAATATAGATTGTAAACATGCTAAATTAAAATTTCATGAAGATATACCATTGAAAAGTGACAATTTTATAATCGTTATTTTTAAAGTTCTTTGATGTAAATGGGTTAAAATATAGATTGTAATTCATTTTAACCATAATAAAATCTTAACATTAAATTTATAGGGTGTTAATTGTATCATATTACTAAATAATATTCATATGGTTTTTAAGATCTTTCTATAAAAATCCTACCCTGAATTCAAACTCAGCACTATTTTGCCACGAGTATACAAAAATATTTGCTAACTGTGAATGCAAGGTTATACATTTTTATAATGTAGAATTAAAATTTATTAATTAAAGGAATAAGATTTTTAATCCATATCTTAAAAGTTTAGAATTCAACTATCTTTAATAATCATTTTGCATATTTTAATCAAATTTTAAGCAGGATAAAAGGAGCAACGATTATGAGAATGAAAATATCGATTTGTTTTTTTGTTTGGACTGAGGCCCCACCATAAAAATCCCTCAAAACTATACCATTAACCAATATAAGTGATTCAGTCCCAAGCCAATTAAGCTACTATATTTAGATAACAATCCATAAATCTAATATCTCAACCTTCTCACCGAATATTTCTTTTTTTGTCCAATTGCGTCAAACAATTCAAAAACTTTAAAAATAACGATTATCACTATTGTCACTTATCTAGGGTACATCTTCACTGAAATATTATTTTAACATGTTAGCAATTTATATTTTAGTCCATTTGCTTCAAAAAAATTTAAAAACTTTTAAAAATAACGATTATGACAATTGTCACTTTTATATAGTACATCTTCATGAAATTTTAATTTGACATTTTTACAATCTATATTTTTACCCTTTTGTATCAAAAAATTTCAAAAAACTTCAAAAACAACGATTATGACAATTGTCACTTATCTATGGTACATCTTCATTGATATTTTATTTTAACATGTTAGCATTTTTTATTTTTGCCCATTTGCTTCAAAAAAATTCAAAAAACTTTAAAAATAACGACTATGACAATTGTCACTTATCTAGGGTACATCTTCACTGAAGTTTTATTTAAACATGTTAGCTATTTATTTTTTTGCCCATTTGCGTCAAAAAAATTTAAAAAACTTTAAAAATGATGACAATTGTCACTTATCTTGGGTACATCTCCACTTAAGTTTTATGTCAAAAAAGTTTAAAAATAACGATTATTACAATTGTCACTTTTCTGTTGTAGATCTTCATGAAATTTTAATTTAACAAGTTTACAATATATATTTTTAGCCATTTGCATCAAAAAAATTTAAAAAACTTTGAAAATAAGGATTATGACAATTGTCACTTATCTAGGGTACATCTTCACTGAAGTTTTATTAATACATGTTAACAATACTTATTTTAACCGATTTACGTCAAAAAAATTTAAAAAACTTTAAAAATAACGATTATGATAATTGTCACTTTTATATGGTGCATCTTAATTAAAATTTTAATTAACATGTTAAAAATACTTATTTTACCGTAAAAAAAATCTAAAACTATCAAATAAAAGAAATCCATTTTTCATTTCATAATATAATAATATAAATAAAAAATATATATTATATAATATGTTTATTTGTTGATAAATAAAATTTTAACATTAAATATAAATATATAAATTATTTTAATAAAAATAATAAAATAATAATAGGCCGCGTTATATTTCGCGAAATAGTTTTCGATATATTATCTTCGCGATTTATGTTTCGCGATATTGACTTCGCTATAAAATTTTCGCGATTATTGATACGCGATAAAAATTTCGCTCTAATGTATTCGCTTTAAAGGTTTCGCGATAAGAGTTTCGCTATAAAAAATTCGCGATATTTGATATTGTTTTCGCGGAACAATATTCGCTAATGTAGATTCGCGATAAAAGTTTCGCTGAATTGACATGGAACCGTTTTATAACCTTAAACCAACCCCGAACCCTGTCAAAAATTTTGCCGGGTTCGCATCCCTGAACGTAACCTTATTGCAGTTAATTTGTTGGCTTATCTCAGTATTTTCTTCATAATTCTAAAATATTCACCGCTGTTTTAAATAACTGATTATTATAATAATATAGTAATAATATTGTGATTGATTCATAATAAATAAAATAATTATCATTGAGATAAGTACAATTTAAACGTGATTAATCTCCTATATAATGTCATACACAAACACACATGAAAATGATAGAATATGAATGAATGATGATTTATTATTGGATAAAATAAAATAGGATAGAAAGAAATTTACAAACTAGACATGTTTTTTGAATAAATATTTTAAATTGATTTTAAAAATATAAAAACAATATATTACAAAAATATTTTTTAAATTTGGGGGGGGGGGGCTGGAAAAATTTATGGGGGCCATTTTTGGTGGCCAAGGATTTTTTCTGGGAGCCAGATTTGGAGGCCAAATGCCCCACCCTTGACTACGGTCCTGATTAAATAAGTATCTTCAGTCAGTAAATATGAAATATAGTCAATGCAAAAAATTGTGTTGACTCCATATTTAATACATTTTAAAATAAAAGGTGATAATTCATTCGACTTGATAAAGATCAAGGCAAAAATCTTATATAAAAATTTAATAAAAATCCTCCCATGTTTGTAAAACGCCTAGCTCGTCATAAAATTTTTACTGACACCAAATTAAAATTTGACTGTATAAAGGACTCTAATTGGAGTTCTGTAAAAGAAAAATATTATGAAATATATAATTATTTTGTTCACTTTTAGAAAAATTAATGATGATGAATAATAACCCTGTATCTTGTTTTAATGTTTTTTTGCGTATAAAAAATCACAATGTGTCCTTATACGAAAACATTACATCATGAAATGAAAATCGCAAAAGGTTACATCCTTTTTTTAAAATCTATTTAAGTGTTAACGGCTGAAGTATTAAAAAGTCATAATTTTGTAAATATTATTAACACTATGTATAAAAAAGTATCATGTTACATTTAAAAAATTATACAGCAGGTATTTTCATTGGGATATCAACAGCTTCTTTGGATTTTAGACTCTAAACTCAGGAGGTATTATCATGCACAAGAAAATAGATGAAAGATAAACGAAAACAAAATTTAGTTCTAATGACTTATGAAAAAAATAATCTAAAATTTAGTTTTAATTCATTTGTCAAAATTTAAAAATAAAAATTTCTTGTATTGTTTTTAATTAATTATTTCAATTAAAAATACCAAAAACTTTATATGAGTGTCTGACTATTTGTTTCAAAAAAAATGTTGCCCTCCCCCTGTAAATAGTTCCCCCTCCCAATTAAAAATTCTTGGTTACGGGCTTGACTAACAACCCCTCGATCGAGGAATGGCAGTTTTCGCATAAAAATCTTGTTTAACCTTTATAGGGCCATCACAAAAATTTCTAAAATTGGAGCCATTTATCAACACTACTTGCTGATGTCGAATCTCATTCTATACTTTAAATATAAGAGAAGCTCGACGATTTGTAAAAAATTATATGCGGAATGAATTATAAATATTTTCAAAGAAAATTTGTTAAAAATATTAATGGGTCAATAATATGAATTTTATATTTTGTTCAGGCATTTTATACCCAATTTTGTTGCCGAACAATTTGTCTTGAACCTTTTATTCCCAGTGTTTCCAAACATATTTCAAACATTTTGTTATTGAACTTTTTTTTTATCCTAGCCTCCCTATAGGTACATGTCTATTTTCATTTCAAATTCTTATTTATATTTAAGCATAAATTAAAATATTTTAATTTAGTATATCTGCAAAATTGTTAAATATTTTTATTTTACATCTATATAATCATCGAAAAATTATCATATAATTTAATATTATAATAATTATAAACATTATCATATTGCATAATGATTTCATCGAAAATGCAACATAGTTTAGGCCTTATTAATTTAACGATTAAGATACTTTTTACTTTTGGCTCTTCTATTTTGAAACCATGTTATAATCTGATTGGGGTGTAGATTAAGCTTACCTGATAGCTCGTCTCTATCGAAAGGTGATAAATATTTTTGAATTTGAAAGCGTAACTCTAACTCTTTTAATTGGTAAGAAGTGAATGCTGTTCTCATCTTTCTCCTTTTACGGCTCTTCAAAAAATTTTCGATCCAAACATCTGATATCCCTTTTTGATGGGGTTCTATGTAATTTTGTTGAATATTTGTTGAATCAATGGCTTCACTTAAATTTTGGTTTATACTCTTGTCGTTATTAGGAAAACAATATGAATAAAATACACCATAATTGTTAGTTTTATTGCTGTTAAAATTTACATTGGGCGAAAGTGGGTGATATAAATCAGGAGTTTTTCCATATTCTAAATTTCTTTGACTTGATTTGTTTTTTGATTCAAGGATAACTTCTGTGTTATATAGATTGCGGTTTAATACATAACTCCCTAAATCGTGTTCATCTATATTATAACTATGATCTCTTTCATTTTTAATTATTGGATTCGTTTTATATATGTTAAAGTAATTGCAATAAGGATGTGCTTCAAGATAAAATGCTCTATTCTTACTCATAATATTGTCGTCGTTCGTGCTTAAACAGTCATCATTTTGGATGGCGTCTTGATATGAATCTAGAATTTTAAATATCCAATAAATTTAATACGCTTTAAGACTATAGATTTAAGAAGCTATAGTATATACATATATGTTTTAAAGCCTTAAATTATCAATTATACCATAATTATGGATATTCCTTTTGGCTAAGGGTTTCACATCCGAGCATAAAGAATTTGCTTTAGATAGCTTTTCACTGTTTGTATTCAATAGGATGTTCTTAATCAAAAAGGAAGAGGACATGATTTGAGATTGTAAATTATAAAAAAGTTTTTTTTAACTTTAAAATTTAATGTATATAATTATATTTTAACAATAAAATCTATCCACCAATTTGACATTTAATGCCTTCAAAAGATCAAGTATATTATTGCAATAATTAGTAAATTATAATAATAAAAATATTAGTATGAATTAACATCGAACAAATAGTAGCCATATTTAGTGTAAATCGTATGTTTCTCAATATCCAAACAATTTTTTTTTCAATTATTTCTCGACAATCTAAAAAAATATATAGCAGAGAGCAATTTATTTAATTTGATAAAGCTTATGAAATAATATGATAACACATATTAATCATTTAATATTATATATCATATATAAATTATAACCATGTTTCATTAAATATTCATCTTCTTTACAAAGATATAAATTGTATTTAAAAAAATATTACAATATGTTTACCTATAATTATTAATATAAATTCTCATTTTTAAAAAAATCTAATTTAATTTAAAATGTTATGGGGGGCTTTACAGAGTATAATTGTATCAAATTAAAATGCATCATTTAATATTTATAGCAATTTTTCATAATTTTTGATTGCATAATTTAATATTATTTCTATAAAAAAAGCGTCTCAAATATATATTTTATATATTTATGAATTAATATATTATCTTATACTCCTTTAAAAATTATATCACATCCCTTCTCAGCAAGATACTTAAAATAATTTTATGATACTTATAAGTGCTTTTTTTTAAAAAGATTTTATATATTTTTTTAAGGCATATTGATAAATGTTTTGACACACATCCATTAAGACATAATATTTATCTTGAAACAGGTTTTATATTTATATTTTCGAAAATTTTTAATCATATTTTAACTTATTTTTATAAATATTAGGTGATATTAACCACCTAGCCTTAAATGATAGAGTTATATATTGGTTCTTTCAGATAAAACCCATCAAATTGGGAAATAAAAAATTTACGGAAATAATTATGAAGGACCATCCATGTTTTTTGGACAGGTTCTAGTCACCTGTATGCATAACAAAACGAGCTTGCTATTTAAACCCTCACGAAATAAAACGCCTAAACCCGATTAAATAAAGAGTTAATTAGGGAGGGGTTTAGGTAGGCTTAAAATATACTCTATGTTGTAGAGGAACCCTAGGAAAGATTAAATAAAAATAACAATTAAGAATTTTTCTTTAATAATTATTAGATTAGATATAGCTCGGAAAATTTAAAACTCGGGTTTTATTGGTAAAAATCATTATCACAGTAGATATATAGTTTTCCCTCCAAAAATTAATCATTTCTTTTAACATTAAATGAAAAGTTTAAGTCATAAGAAAATATCAATCGAAGTAATTTTTAAATAATATTTGCTTTAAGCTTCCAAAAATTAATATGATAAAAATAAATCAGAAAATATTCCTTACATAATTTTTGTTACATTTATTTATGCCAGTGTCGAAAGTATCTATGAGAGCTCACCGATGGGGCTTCTCTTAGCCACGTCATATTAAAAGTAAAGAAAAAGAGAAAAATCATGAAAAATAAACAAAATAACCTAATTCTCTATCCAAGTAAAATAGAGTATTATTTATTTTCATGATTAAAACTTTTTTCTGAATCATTGAAAGTTTTTTGCAGTGATTTCACTAACATAATTTTAAAACGTTTCATTTTATTTTTGAAACTTTTCTAATTTTGATGAGAAACCAAGCTTATAGCTTGAAAAATGATAATTTCCACGATTATGGTCATCCTTAATGGGAGGAAATTTAACTTTAATTAAGAGCAGTTATCTTTAAATTTATAGTTATTTAAGTTATGCAAGACACTTTTTTTTAACAACCATCCTCGTATTATGGCAAATGGAAGTCATAAAATATTATTACCCAGCTATTTTTTTTAGACATTATATAGTAAACTATATTATAATTCTTTAAAAAAAAGATTAAATGATGCAATTATTACAGCCTTTTAAACCTTTTAAACTAAATTTTATATCTTTTATAGAGAAATATTTAGCGATAAAAATCTAATAATAGAGTAAATGAAGTTAACTTGAGAATTTAACCATTTTAAAATCTTATAACAATATAGTAACTAAATAATTTTAAAAAAAATTAATAACTAAATGATTTAAAAAAAAATTAAATAGCAAAGAATTTAAAGTAATTGGTGACAAAATTAAATAAAATTTTTTTTGTTTTGTCGGTAATAAATTGGCAGATTTAAAAAAATTTAATAAAAAAAATTGGTATTGAATATAAAGGTGGGTTTAGGTATAAAAAATAATTGTTTAAATTAAAAATAGATCAAAATATTTAAGGGTTAATTTACCAGATAAAAACTAATTATATTTTGTTAGATATAATAAAGTATAAATATGTTCTAAGTATATATATTTTTGAATAGGTAAAAATAATATATTTAATAAATATAATTGTTTTTAAGGTTCATGAGATTTTCTCGCTTAAATTTAAAAGTCTGTTAATTGATTTAAACATTTTAACCCTAAGTATAAGTTTTAAGCAAAAAAAAAGAAGGCACCGAGACATTTTATAACTTCTTTTATATAATAAGGTGTAAAACTTATTTTAAAAAATTTATCAACTCTGTTATTTATACAAATATTTGTAAAGAATAGACCATTAAATATTAAGCGCATTCAAAATATTAGTGTCTTCTCCATGATTTAATTCGGAACCTGCACTAAATTGGCTAGGGTGGTTGGTCTCGGATCATCCCTTAAGTACTGTCCGATGCCACCTTTGGTAAATAATAGGTCGTTATGGGAATCAGTATCACCCTTTAGGTACTTACTCTAAAATCAGTTTTAATTAAGCTCTTAGTTAAATAAAATTTTTTTAATATTCTTTATTGCATATAATAAAAATATTAATACCACGACCTATATATTATGTATTTTATAAATGAGCAATTAATAGATCAATATAATGCTGATTGCAAAATCTTAAAATTAATAATACTTTCGTCGAGGACTTATATAGCTAACATCCTAAATGGAGACGCTTAAATGAATGAATGACCCTATAAGGCACTTCTATTACGAGGGGGGGGGGTAAGACGAAATTGAAATTGAAGAGGGGTAGGGAGTTGTGATTGTGAAGACTCTTTCGTCATTAGAATAAAATGGGGGGTGGGGAGGAATTAAATCTAAAAGAGGGAGTAGGGGGTGAGAAAATTTTGATTATTCTCTTCTACATTTTTCTTGATAATTTTGAATTTTGATTTTCTTTATATTAATTTTGATTTAATTTTTTTTACAAACTTGGATTCGAATTTCCTTCATTTTTTGCTAGCTCGAATTCGAATTTCTTATTTTTTTGTTAATTTTGATTTATAGAGGGGGGGGGGTTATAATGGCAATTGGTTAATAGAGTGAACACAATCATTGACTAATGTGGTGTAGAAGCGTTTAGATCCAGCATAAAAATGTATTCACTTTATATACCATAGAAAATCATGTACAAATGTTTTACATGTTTTACGTGTCGGGAAAAAAAATTAATTCAAAGTTATATTTAAACAGATTTTAAAAATGAAAGGAATATGAAAGAGTTTTTGCTAATTTAAAACTGGAAATTGCAACATTTATTTTTTTGCTCAGGACTTTTCTCATCCCCAAATGAGTTTCTTAAATAAGCCATCGATGACTTAGAGTAAGAAGTTTGAAGATTAGGCGATGATGAGTGTGATAATGATAAGGACTTATTTATTTTCTATATATGCGGCAAATAAATACCTAAATTTATACTTTAATTATAACTAATATTGAATTATGATAGAATATACTAATAATGTTTAAAACAAAAGATGGTTATCATTTACTTAGTGATTGGAGCTTTTATCCTATTTTATAAATTTAAGATAATTAATATATAAATAAATCTGGTTATAAAAATTTATTTAAGCTCTTTCTTCTTCTTCTATGTTGGTTTTCAGGTTTACCTTTTGCAAGTCAATTTTTATTTTGACCCCTTTTCTCCACTTTTACGGTCCTGGGCGTCGCCATTTGTAAAACCCATTTTTTTCATGTCACCTGTTATCACTTTCATCCACTCTTCGCTGATCATACTCGAAACCTTGATCCCATCACTTAGATAAAAATTTGTTTAAGTATAAATTTGAAAGGTATTTTAAGAATTTTTTATATTTGGCAATTATTTTTGTTTAAGTTTGAAATAAAAGAATGTTTTTTCAAATTTATAAATGAATGAGATTTTAAATTTAACTGGTTTGTTATGATTCATCCCAAACTATAAATTTCAGCTTTATAAGCATGTTTAATACTCTCTTAACCATTTTTTTAAATCATGGCCATGTATCTCGGGTTTCACTTACATTATTCAAGAAGTGTATGTAGGTACATAACATTGATACATTCGATATACCAAAGTTCGCATTACTATTTGCATTAGAGGTCTGCATTGGGAGTTTTGGACCATAAGCCCGCCCACCCATTTTTAAAAAAAATTTAATCCGCCCGCCCAGCTCGTCCATAGTTTTCAAAAAAATAAGCCCGCCCGCTCTTTAGTCTAAAATCATTTACCCGCCCACCCATTATTTATAAAAAAAAATTTTTTTAACCTAAGCCTGCTATTATAAAATTTAATTATGGCTATTCTTTCAATTTTTTAAGCAACTATTAAAAAAAAATTTCATCACACCTCTACAAAAAGTTTTTAGGAAATTACTATATTAAGCATTAAAAAATATTCAATTTAAATTATGGATAATTTATTTGATTAAATAAATTATTTATGAAAATATAAATATAAAATTGATATTATATGTAATTAATATTGCAAAAATAATAATGAATCGACATTTTCCGGATTCAAATACGTTCTTCTTTGTTTTGAAAACCTTTAATGCTAAATCCTCGTTCAGAAGAAGCACTAGTTGCAGGAATTGCCAAATTTTTCTTGCTAATTTTTTGTCATTTCCACCAAAGTAGTTTTGAATATATAA